ACACGCCTGGCTGGTTGTCTGCATATGTTGAGAAGATCTGTGACTTCTATGTTGAAATTGTCGAGTTTCGTGGAATCAGTGCTGTCATAACACCGCCAGCTGTCTCTGTCCCAAGTGTCAATGGCGCACCATCAAGCAACACATCTTCTACCATTTGCTGTATTCACTTTTTGTATAGAGAGTGTGATATATTAGTTTATTTTAGTTCAACTCCTTATGTTGATTTTAATTTTGTTAAATTGTCTTCTTATATTTTCCAAATCAATCTTTGATATTTTTGTAATCGCATAAGGCTCATGGTTCAATTTCTTTGTTTTTTTGCCTTTATAATAATAAAAGTATTGATTTTTTTAACATTTATAGTTTTTTATTTTTAGAAAATCGCATAAGGTTGCGGGTATCGCATAAGGGTGAATACCACATCTGTAATAATTTGAATTATTATATATAATATCGTAATAGTACACCATTCATGATCGTTTATTATATCATTTAAATGATTACAACACTTGTAATTTGATCAATAACACGGAAACTTATTTTAAAGAAACTTGATTCGCGTGATACAGTTAAGAGTTAACCATATTTATATTTGTTAAATAATCAATTGTTTACATATTAATAAACTTTAATATGAATTGTCAAAAATACCTAATTATTGATAAATTTGTTATTTTTTGATACTATGTTTATTGTGTTTAATTAACATTATTTTCATCATACATAATACTTACGGGCTCTCGTTCTAAAATTAAAACAATATTCAAAAAGTTTTCAAAAGTGTTATATTTGTATGTCAAACCATATTGTTAAAGATAGGTCATATTTGCTTTTTAATAAACAATTCTGATAATTCACAAATTCATTGAAAGATTTTCTGTATTTGTTTATAAACATTAATAACAAAAAATAACATACATTTTTTAATTTTCAATCAAATTCATATTGCTTGAAATTTATATTTATATTATTCTTGTGATATTTTAATCAAGAAGTCTGATGCACAATGCTACTGCTACAAAAACCAGATTGCCAACATAGGACACATCTTGCTGAGTTGTCAAATGACCAAGAAGTCCCAAATAGCCAGACATAATGTAGTCTGTGAAAAAATCCACATGGCACGGCTGGAGAGGCTAAAGATGATAGATGAGAACACCTCAATGACGGTGCCTCCCAAAGACACGTACGACGAAGGGGAGAAGAATGTAGTCATTGCCAAAAAAAATCTGCTCTGTGATAATAGGCAAAGTTTTGCTCGAAGGTTCGACTTTTATTGGCAAGACAATGAAGCCAAAAAGGGTTATGTGGTTGATGTCACAATTGAAAAAGATGAAAATCTCGCCACTGCTTACTTCCGAAAAGTGTCAAAATACAGCACAATTTGTGAGAAGCTTCGAAGTGCAAGGAATCTGCGAAGTGTGACCACCGTTCCTGTGGTCATAACGATAAGCGGACTGATAAACAAGCTCTCTATGGAAAGGATAAAAAAGATGTTAAAGATCAGATTGGACTTACCTAAAATAATTAGGGATGTCACAATCTCTAGTATGAAGGATCTAATGACTGACTTGAGTCATGGGAAAACTTCCTTTGATCCAGGAAACTCACTGGATTGTTTTCCACATGACGAATCTGGAACAGAGAGTCCCGAAGGCGAAGAGATTGTTTAAGGAGAAGACTGCTTTGAGCCATGTAATCCAATAACAAATAAAATTGGAAATGCATAATTGAATTCTTGGTGTTATTTTAATCAAGAAAATGATTATTTGAGCATGTTATATTACAATACTAACAGTTAGAGTGATTTATATATATATTATAATATTGGAATGTATTACAAACGTTAAAACAATCGTAATTATAAACAAAATATTCAAATTACATCGTAAAGTGTTTTTAATTAAATGATATTCTAAAAATATAACAAAGAAAAGAACTAGACCGAAAATATTAAACCATTATTTACTATACTCAATATCGCTAATTAAAAACCATAAACTATTAATAAAATTGTCATTAATTAAAACTAATGATAAACAAATCCCGAGCATTGACCTTTTTCCATCACTTATTATCTTTTTCTCAATTTGACCCAAATGATAATTTGACATGTCTGCTCTATCAAATGTGACATTTTATCTATGTTGAATAACCTGGATGACATAGTTTATTTCTTCGAATTCACATTTCAATACCAACCTATTCTTAGTTTTGGCTTTATAATTTTTTCAGTTGTTTAGCATTACGTTTTTTGTTATTTTTAGCACATATTTATAAAAAGAACAAAAAATAAAATTCAAACTATTTTTTGGAAAAACCACTTTATTTTTATTATAAATTATAATACTGTAATTATAATTTATAGTAAAAACCCAATATCGTTAAATAGAAAACAGACTTTAATATAAAAAACAATGTACATATTTGAAAAGGTAATCATATTAAATCAAGACATTATTACTGAAATTATAATAAAATATCAAACATATCAAATATCATAATAGTGATTATCACAACATTGTATTTGTATCAAAAACTTAATTAATGAATTTTCAAACAAAAACACAACTAAATTCGTTGTTTGTTTTTGTTGTATATCAAGTCGTCTATGATATCAATTTATACAATCGTCTGTTATTTCAGTGTTTTTTTGACATTTTGATGTGTACAAATATATTCAACATCAATACAAATGTCAAAGACAATATACGTTTATTAATAGTGTTAATAATAGTGTAATTATAATCATATTTAGAAATTTACTAAAAAACAATAAACATAAATAACATCCAAGTCACCAATAAAGTTACAATTAAAAATTTTCAAAAAATTTCAATTTATTACTAAAACATACACAATAGAAAACATATTAAAAATATATAGTTAATTAATTAAATTTAATTTTTAATACATTTCAATTATTTCCAGTTTAAAAAGTCCAAACAACACAATTAAGTAAATAAACCACCAAATATAACAACACTATCATATAATATAAAATATCAAATTTTGATACATTTACACTCAAAACATGTTTACATGTATAACTAAACTAATATTTTAATTGATGATTTATAATTAAATAATATAACACTTATTAAAAAACAATATTTGTGGTTTTCACGAATTTACACATATTAATTAAATTAAAATACTTATTACAGTATTGTATTAAACAGAGAGATCATCATGTATAATGTAATTATTATAAATAAAATTGAAGTATATTAAATATTTAACATAAACATAACATTTGTAATCCATTCCAATATTATTGAAAATTCACAAATAATATAAAAATATAATTCGGCAAAATCAATTTTTGTTTACATTGAAAACCAAATAATCTATTTATATAAGTTTTATTTTTTTCCATCTATAGAAATGGTTTGTCCAGTAGATAGAAAAAAAGACATATATGTTATGTGGATGGGTCTTATCCAGTCATATGTCTTAAAACTTAATTTTTTATATAGAAGTCTATAAATATTCGAAAAATATTATTAGTTCAGTACATAAATGAATAATCCCGTTAATTTACAAATATTAATAATAATATACAAAAAAGTATTTTGCAATTAAAAACACTTTATATTTTCAATAGAAATTTTTACAAGTAAATCTTTCAACAATTTATTTAATAAATAGTAATTATAACAATATCAAAAATTTGTTATTAATAAGTCGATAATAAACAACGTTTTGTTACTTTTTAGTTTTTCAAACTTAAATATCAATTTTAGGTTTCATGTTTGAGTTGATATTATTGATAATATTTACCATGACATCTGCTCATTGGTGTTTAATTGAAGAAACTATTCGATGTGATTGCGGCTCTAATTATAATAAAAATGTAATATTTGAAAAAGATGGAGTAGTGTTATTATATAATTTACAATCCAATGTCATACAAATCAAGTGTTCAAATATAAAAGAGATTGAATTTAAATATGATGAAAGTGTTCATATTTTAAAAGTTTCTTTAAACTCCACCAAAGTCGTTTTTCAAAACACTAATCAAATATTTTAACGTCACAAGTTCCGTTTTTGAAATTGATTCAAAAAATGTGAAACAACTTCCACCAATAAAATTAAGTTCAATTAAAAAAGAAATAATTTGTGGTTCTACAATGCAGCCAAATTGTTTGACTTGTGTTGACAACAAAGGAGAGTTGTGTTATCGATGTGAAGATGGTTATCAAGTTTCAACATGTTCTGATGATACATTTGGAAAATGTGCCCTTCCAAACAACACAGAATGTACACCAATTTGTGGTGATAGTGGGCTTTACTTTTGGAGCCAAAACAGTGCATATGTTCCAACAAATTGCTTATTATACAACAACACAGGGTATTGTACTTCATGTTATCAAAATTATTTACTTGATGGAGGAAAGTGTTATCCCAATGCTACAAATTGTGCAACTTATTATACAAATCAATATTGGTGCAGTCAATGTAATCCGGGATATTTTCCATATTATAAAAATTGTGTTCTTTGTGGAAATATTGATGGGTGCACAAGTTGCAATCAAATGTATGTTAAATGGTGTAATTCATGTCTCGGTGGGTATTATTTAATTGAAAATAACTTTATGAAATTGTGCAAAAGGTGTCCAATTGGATGTGCAAATTATTTTTTGAGTAATGAAATAATAACATGTTCAAGTTGTGAAAATGGTTATTATTACAATAATGGTGAATGTACGGCGTGAGGTACTGGGTGTAAATTGTGTTATTCTGTTATTGGACAACTTGGGAAAACTTATTGTGATACATGTTATGATCATTACTTTAACAATGTAAATGGCGTGTGTACAATATGTAATTCTACATGTGGCAATTGCGTTTATGGAACGGGTATTTGCACCACGTGTGCTTCTGGATACGTTTTGAAAACCACATCAAACACAAAGTGTGAATTGTGCAATAATTATGATAGTAATTGTGAAACTTGCCTTGAACCGAACAGGCAGTGTTATCAGTGTGTCTCTGGAATGTACCCAAATAACGACAAACAGTGTGTGAATTGTGATTTGACTTGTAGTGTGTGTTCTAAAACAACTGGGATGTGTTCTGTGTGTGCAAGTGGATTTACAAAACCCGCATCAGACAACCAAATTTGTGACAGTTGCTCAACTGCTTTTTTTAATTGTGTTTCGTGTTCACAAACGCTTAGACAATGCCAAACATGTTCAACGGGATTTTATCCACTTCAGACATCACCATATACATGCCAACAGTGTCACTCAAGTTGTGCAAATGGATGTAATTCATCAACTGGCAATTGCACAACGTGTGTGAGTGGATATGTCCCACAACTCAATCAATCATCTCTAACGTGTGAATTGTGTTCTTCTTTTGATAACAACTGCCAAACTTGTGCAACTGATGGAACACGAAGTTGCACTTTGTGTAAAAGCACATATTACATCTCAGATAACAATAAGTGTTCAAAATGTGATGCGTCTTGTGATTACAAATGTGATGGGAATACCGGATATTGTACTTCATGTGCATCAAATTTTGTTTATATCAATGCAACTTCGAGAGTGTGCCAAAAGTGCAGTGATTTTGATTCAAATTGTATGGCATGTGCAACTAACTTCAGTCGTAGATGTATAATTTGCAACACGGGGTTTTATCCAAACGACAGTGGAAAGTGTGTTTCATGTGGGACAAATTGCACATCTTGTAATTCAGCAACCGGCATTTGCACCTCATGTTCCCCAGAAAATGTGTTTGAAGACCCCCCATCAAGAGTGTGTGTGTTTTGTAAAACGTTTGATAACAAATGTGAAACGTGTCAAAATGGTGGAAATAGAAGTTGTGTGACGTGTATAGCGGGGTATTATCCGGGTACATCAGGACAGTGTATTTCATGTGATGCAACTTGCAAAGCAAACACGTGTAATACAAATAACGGGTTGTGTACAAAATGTGTTCAAAACTATGTTGTGACATCTCCAACTTCTAAAACATGCCAAAAATGTTCAGATTTTGATTCAAAATGCAAAACATGTGCAACTGATTTCACACGAAGTTATGTTGAGTGCAACACCAATTATTATCCAATCAATGGAAGATGTGTTGCTTGTGATTAGTCGTGCGGAGGGAGTTGTAGTGGTGTGACTGGATACTGCACCGGTTGTGCATCAAATTATGTACCAACCTTACTCGATCCTTATATGTGTGATCCGTGCTCAACTTTTGATGAAAATTGCACCACTTGTGCAGCAGGAGAACGACAGTGTTCGGTATGCAAATCGTCCAAATATCCAGATGAGACAACTGGAGTGTGTAAAAATTGCAGTTGGACGTGTGATAATAGCTGTGATACATCAACAGGAATGTGCGCAAGTTGCGTTTTAAATTATGTTTTTGAGAATCCAAAATCGAAAAAATGTATTCCCTGTCAAACATTTGATGCAAATTGCGTTACATGTTCATCCGACAAAAAAAAGAAGTTGTTCCATTTGTAAAAGTAATTATTACCCAATACAAGGGCGGTGTGTACCATGTGACTACGGGTGCACTTCATGTAGTTCCACAACGGGAAAATGTTCGGTGTGTCAAACAAACTTTGTGCCTTCAACTGTGAATAACACGGCGTGTGTTCCATGTGCAGATTTTGATAAGAATTGCAAGACGTGCACAATATTGTTTGCGCGATACTGCAACGAGTGCAATGACCATTTCAAGCCTTCCCCTGATGGAATTTGTGTGAGTTGTGATCCTTCTTGTAACAACAATTGCGATCCAATTTATGGAACTTGCATCACGTGCTCACCAAATTACGTTGTCACATCGCCATTATCATACAAATGTGATAACTGCAGTGTTTTTGATCAATATTGTGATGAGTGTGCGTCAGATTTCTCAAGAAAGTGTGTGACGTGTCGAGGCGGCAAATACCCAAAAGATGGTGCTAATTGCGCCAATTGTGATTCAACCTGTGGAAATCAGTGTGATGGGAAAGATGGTCATTGTACTGGGTGTGTTACCAATTACGTGTTGTCTGCCACAAACAGCTTAAAATGTGAGAGTTGTGAGTCTTTTGATCCAAATTGTCAAACATGTTCACCGACTTTACAAGAAAATGTGTGACTTGTGTTTCTGGTTATTTTGTGTTTGAAAACAAGTGTAAGAAGTGTGACGACACGTGCAACAATCAGTGTGACAGTTCTACTGGATTTTGCACTGGATGTCAGAACAACATGGTCTTTGGTGATACAAACAAAAGCATTTGTGTTGCTTGTACTGAATTTGATTCAAATTGCCTGATCTGTGACTCATCTTTTTATAGAGGTTGTAACACATGTACAAACAGACACCCATGTTGATATTTCAACTAAAAAGTGTATACCATGTAATACTGCATGTATTCAATGTAATGGACAAACAGGAGCATGCACCAATTGTTTGCCCAATTATGTAACAAGTTTAACATCGGGTGGCTGTGAAAGATGTGATACATTGATTCTAATTGTAAATTCTGTGCTCAAAACCAAACACGAAATTGCATTCAATGCAACTACAAGTATTATCCTGTGTTAATTACTGGAGAAATGAAATGTGGTTTGTGCGACTCGACGTGTGGAGGGAAGTGTGATCCAACAGACGGTCATTGCACAGGGTGCCAAAGCAACTATGTTTTGTATCAAACAAACAATTTGAAGTGCCAAAAATGCTCTGATTTTGATGGCAACTGTGTCACATGCAACTCCAATTATGAAAGAAAGTGTACCACATGCAACACTGGATATTATCCAAACGCAGACGGGAAATGCATACCATGTGAAGCATCGTGTGCTCCCAACATGTGTAACACGTCAAATGGCAACTGTGACAAATGCACTGAAAACAAAGTTATCACAAATCCAATTTCAAATGTTTGCGTTGATTGCACTGCTTTTGATTCAAGGTGTGTGACGTGTTCACCATCGTTTGCTCGAAAGTGTGTCAATTGTGTTGCTGGTAGTTACCCACAAACCGCTGGCGATTTCAGATGTAAATATTGTGATGCCACATGTGGAGGAAAGTGTGACACGACAAATGGACATTGTACTGGGTGTAACGAATCGTATGTTCCAACAACATCAGATCCGTTTAAGTGTGAAAGTTGCCAAACATTCGACTTCAATTGTGCGACTTGTGTTTCTGATAAAAGAGAGTGTGCTGTTTGCAAACCAGGGAAATACCCAAATGATTCTTCTAAAGTATGCCAAGACTGTGACTCGACATGTAACGGAGATTGTAACACAGCAAATGGTATTTGTAACACGTGTTCATACAATTACGTTTTCAATGAACCAAAAGGAAGAAGTTGTGTGCCATGTGCTACATTTGACAGACATTGTGTGACTTGTGCTTCTGATTATTCAAAAAAGTGTGTAAAGTGTTCAAATGGGTATTACCCCGACTCAAATGGAAAGTGTGTTGCGTGCTCAACAATAACCAACAATTGCAACAATTGTAATAAAACAGAAAAAAGTTGTTTCGGTTGCAAAGACCCGTATTACCTCTCAAATCAAAAGTGTTTTTCATGTGAAGCTGGGACTTACAAAAAGACGGAGACCACATGTGACAAGTGTTACAATGCTATTTTGAATTGTAAGAATTGTGGAACAGATTCTGTTGGCAATGCGAAGTGCAACAATTGTTATCCACCATACACTTTAAGTTCAAATGGTAATAGTTGTGACCAATGTGATTCAGCTTCATATTATGACAAAACAACAAATCGCTGTGTAAATAAAAATACAACTTGTGCTGTACAAATTGAAAGCACTAAATGTGTCCGTTGCACTGATATTTATTTTGTGTCAAATGGGGTGTGTAAAAGTGCTCAAAACTGCAACAGCCCATCGAGTCTGTCACCGGCTTCATGTGATTGTTCAGACCAAATTTCGATCAATTCTGATTGTGCGTCAATTGCTTCATATTGCAAATATCAGACAACAATAGCATTAACTTCAACATGTTTAATGTGCAAAGACAGTTTTATTTTATCACCAAATGCATGTAACCAAATAGAATCAAATGAATTGTATAGAAATGGTGTGAAGTACAGTTGTTGGGATGGAAAATATATTAGTAATAACAACGTATGCGAAATGTGTCCAAATTCAGCTTTAATTTGTATTAATTATGGCAACAAAATTTACACAATAAAATGCACACCAAACACAATACAAAAAGTTGGAACAGAACAATGTATAACAGATGAGTTGTGTTTGCAATATACACATAATTACTGCTCTAAATGCAAGTCGGTGTCATCACAAATCATCAATGGAATATGCACAGCCTGCCAAACACCAAACTGCAAATTTTGCGAAGGAAACAAGTGCAAGCGATGTGCCAACGATTATTTGATGGTCAAAGAGAATCAATGCGTTTTTCAAAATAAACAAAACTGTGACAAATCGAGTGTATCTGGATGTGTGTTGTGTTCAAGTGGGTTTTATCAAGTTGACTCTTTGAACGTTGAAGGCAAATTCGATTTCTGTCTTCCAATACCCCCAACACTATATCCAAATTGTAAACGACTTGCTTTTTCTAAAAACAAATGTGTAGAATGTAACGATTTATTCAAATTGAAAGGTGGGGTATGTAAGGAATCGTTCGAAGATGAAGCTCCTGTTGTTCCACCAGAAACGGAACCCAAACTTCCTGTCTCTGTTATATCCAATTCACATATTAAATATTTACCATTTTTGAAAGGAGTTACTGGGTCCAAATGTCAAATAAGAGACAACAAAGGATGTCAACGGTGTAATGATGGATATTACGATGAAAATAATGAGTGTGTGAAATGCACCAACGATTGCAGTTCGTGTTACTCACAGACATATTGTACTTCATGTGAAAGTGGGTATTATCTTGACTCAATAAATAAATGCCAGACCCTTGGTGATTTGGGTGCCAAATGCAGTGTCGCAATTCCAACAGGTGGTGGATGTGCTATCTGTAGAGATGGATATTATAAAGTGCTTAAAGATTGTATAGTATGTGACATTTCATGTAGTTCATGTATAAGCAATACTTCGTGTTCTGTATGTGCAGATGGCTATTTCATTGTTGAGTCCGAAAGTCGCTTGTGTCAACATAACACAACAAATACAAACTGTTTAAAAGTTGGGTATTATGGCTGTGAAGTCTGTGCTGATGGATATTACTTATCACATTCGCGTTGTACAAAATGTGAGAAATTGTGCACATCCTGTATTTCACAAAATGTGTGTACAAATTGTGTATCAAAAGAATACGTTTTATATGATTCTAAATGTGTACACTACTCTAAAATACCAAATTGTATTGAGGCTACAGATTCAAAGTGTGTAAGATGCAATGGGTATAACAAACCGTCTGAAAGTGGTGACAGTTGTATTCAAACGGTAAATATGGGAGCGGCAATTGGTATTCCAATATCGATTCTACTAGTGATGATAATAATTGTTTTATTGATAGTGATTACTCTTATTGTAATATTCAAGAGGAATCAGAAGAAAGAAAAGCTCAAAGTGTGCACATACAAGATGAGTCGCTCGAACATCAAGATGTCGACATTAGTGGACAATATAGTAGTTAATAAATCCAAATTGAAGTTTGACTTAGAAACGGACGATCTTATTCCTGTTGATAAAGAGACAAAAGACTTGATCTGCATAGGAAACACTTCAAAACATAATATGAAAGTCCAATTTAGTGTTATTGAAGGGTGTGATTCATACAAAATTCGCACAGTTCCTTCCATTGTTACACTGAAAAGGGGCGAAGCCTGTGAATTTGAGATATTTATACAACCCCTTTGTACATGTAAAATAGAAGAAGACGTGATGATCACTTCACTTGATTTAACAACAGGAATTGTTGTGAACGCCAAAATAGGAATTGACACAACGACACAACAAACGACCAAACTTAATTATAAAGAACTTGATGTGATCACCAAACTTGGCGAAGGATCATTTGGCATTGTGTATAAAGGCAATTACAGAGGAAATATAGTAGCCATTAAAAAGATGAAACAAATTGCTTCCCCAAACACAGTTACAAGTAATTTTACTGATGAAAAGAAGTCACTTGATGAATTTGAAAATGAAGTGAACATGTTGGACAAATTTAGAAGTGAGTATATCGTCCATTTTTATGGCGCTGTGTTTATACCAAACAAGGTGTGTATGGTCACTGAATATGCACATTTTGGGTCTTTAAATGATGTTTTAAAACAAAGAAAAACGGATGAAATTAACACCAGAATGCGTGTTAAAATTATGTTAGATGCAGCAAGAGGAATTCAATATCTCCATGAGAATGGGATTTTACACAGAGATATTAAACCAGACAACATTCTCATATTTTCATTGGATAATAACGAACGTGTCAATGCAAAGCTGACTGATTTTGGATCATCTAGAAATGTCAACATGCTGACAACAAACATGACATTCACAAAAGGTATCGGAACACCAAATTACATGGCACCTGAAATATTAAAAATGGAACACTACAAGAAACCAGCAGATATATACTCGTTTGCGATAACTATGTACGAGTGCTTTGGGTGGTGCAATGCTTTTTCAGAAAAACAGTTCAAGTTCCCATGGAAAATTACAGAGTTTGTGACACGAGGAGAACATCTTGAAAAACAAAGTTCGATGTCTGATGAACAGTTTGGTGTCATTCAAAAATGTTGGTGTAAAAATCCAATTGAGAGAATCGAAATTGGCGAAGTTGTCAACTTGGTTAATGGCTTGATAAACAAGTGAAAATTATAATTTTATTTTTCTTCTAGTTATAAATGCAGTCATCAGAATTAAATTTTAATACAGTATAATCCGGGTTTAATTCACTTAAAATATTTTGGAACTATCGGGTTTAATTCCACTTTTTTTCAAGAAAATTATTTTAAAAGTTTTTTAAATCAAAAATAATTGATGGAATTAACTTTCGGTAGTTTCATAGTTATAATTATTTAATAAATATTTGATTCAATCAAAAACAAATGATGATGGTAAAGGCTTTTTCATCGTCTCTAAAAATAAAGTTTTTTTAACTATTTAATATAATATTTTAATTAAAATTATAGTAAATGAAAGCTTGGGATAATATTTGGTCTTATTCCGAATAAAAATGTGTCGATAATTCACCTCGAATCAGTGGAAACTGAGTGAGATGATAATCGAAAAGAAGGCACAGGCGGTCTGTTTGTGCACCCGTTTCACACACTTTCAATGTTATTTTTGGCGCGGATCCCAATGAACGCCCCGCAAGCGTTGGGGAACCACATCAGCGTCCACACAGTACGGACAAGGAAAGTGGGTGACATGGGGACGCACAAACAGTGGCTGAAAAGTGGACTTCCTTCAAAAAACACTCGCGGCAAATACTTTGTTAAGGTGGTGGTGAAACAAGTCTGTTTAAATAAAAACGAATAAAAACTCGAGTTTGTTATGTTCGTTTTTATTTATTTATTATTTTATAATAAGTAATTTATAATGTAATAGTACCGAAAAATAGTTCCAGAAACAAAAATAATGCATTTTTATTCTAAAAACAAATATTCTGATTAATTTAGGTAAAAACCCAATTATTTTACATAAATATAAACAAAAAACAAGACTATGATAATGAAACTCAAAAGTGTTGTTTTTATTATTTTTTCTTACTTCGGGTTTAATTATTTTAGAATGAATTAAACCCGATTATTTAATTAAACCCGCACTGGAATTAAACCCGGATTATACTTTTTATATTAATGTTTGATTATCATCAAAAATTATTTATAAACAATTAAATTTAAAATTGTATTTAATCTATTTAGTTTTTAATACATTAAAACATTTCAACCTATCTTTTGTTTAAAAGACTGGAGCTTTGTTTTTTTTGTTTTATATAAAAAAGTTAAAAAGTTGATGTTTTATTTTTTTATGCAGAGTGTAAAAACAATAAAAAAGGAAAAACAAGTTTGAGCTCCTTTGTGGATTTTTATTTTTGTGATTTTAGTAAAATTAATATTTAAATAAAAACAAAAATTACTAAGATATTCGAATTTTTGTTATTTCGAATTATATCTGAATGTTTCATTCCGTATAGCAATTTGCAAAGACGATGAACGTTTGTAATAAGCATTTTGTCTTTACTCAAGTGACATTTCATTAACTTGATCCACATTAATTATTGAGTGTTTGTATTATAAATATACACGCTTTCAATTGTAGAGAATAAATTGTCGTTTTTATTTTATCTAACAAGATTAACTTCGACAACCGTCGCTAAAATTAAGTTACTTTTCATTATATTCAACGTTAAACATATTACTTAATTTGATTATGACTTAAAAATTAATAAAAAACAACACAAATTGTTATTTTTTGAACTTTTGTTTTTTATGATCAATAGCATCTTTTTCATCAAAAACTCGAACAGATATTATCGTTTTGAATTTTGAAGATTTTTTAGTAAAAATGTTTTTTTACTAATATTTTTGTTTTAATAGTTCGGCAAAATAGTTGTGTTTTAATGGAAAATAATTTCTGGGAAAAATCACAAAATAAACTCCAACGTGTTAAGGTTTGTAATCAAACAAAATTCAAAAACAATCAATTAAATCGAATCATTTTTTGTTTACCAAAGTGTGTGAATCAAAACATTCATCACCAATAAATGTGACACTTGACGGTAAATCAACTTTATTTAATCTGCCACATTTCCAGAAACAACGTGATCCTAAAGATACTACACTTAATGGTATTATAACTCTGCTCAGACTACTACATTCATTGAAACAATAATCACCAAGTTTTGTGACACTAGATGGTATTACCACACTTTTTAGATTACTGCAATGAGCGAAACAAGCGCGAACAAGTACAGTAACACTCGAAGGAATTTCTACACTCGTCATACCACAATTACAAAAACATGTATCACCCAATGATTTAACACGTGGTGGTATAATAAGTTCATCTAATTTTGAACAATTTTGGAAACAATAATTATTAATAATTGTAAGACTCGATGATATTGTCACACTTCTTAAATTAATACATTTATAAAAACAATATTGACCCAATTCAGTAACACCTGATGGGATGTTTAAAGATTCTATCGAGCTTCACTTGTAAAACCCTTTCTTTTCAATTGATTCAAGTTTAGATGGTAAAGTAACATTTTCCAAATTGATACATTTATCAAAACACTGTTCACCAATAACTTGGACAATTGATGGTATGGTGAAATAACTCAAATTCGCGCATTTGAAAAAAACAAAAAATATCAATTGATGTGACATTCGATGAGATAACAACATTATTTAAACAGTTGCATCCACTGAAACAATATGCACTAAGATATGAGACTCTTTCTGGTATAACAACACTTCCTAAATTGTGACATCCGAAAAACGAATAAGAATTTATATATCTAACACTTGGGGGTATTGTTACTTTATTAATAAAATTGCAATCATAAAAACATCCAGGATAAATGGCACTTACACCAAATGGAATTTCAACGTTATGCAGTTCTTTACAATCACGGAAACACCCTTCATCAAATTTTGTTACACCTTTTGGTATTTCATTGCCAAACCTAATTCTATCATTTTTGGTATATATGACGTTTTTGAATTTGATGTTTGGATTTTTGTTCTTTTCATAAGTTGCATAAATGACTTCAAACCACACAACAATTTCATCAAAATCTTTTTTATAAGAAATTCTCTTCCTTTGTTAATGTCTTCATAGTTAACATCTTTTTCTTTTATGATAAATCCATTATCAAAATTCTCATCTTCTTTTTTTCCATAAATGAAGGATTTTCATTTTGGGAAAATATTTAAATGTTTTGTTGGTCAATGGTATTGGGTTGAAATCAAATTTGTCCGTATATGAACTGTACTTTTTGCATACATAAGTCAAATTGATAAATTCTTCAATTGTCTTAAAGTATTTTGAGACGTTTACAATGTGATAACTACCAAGTTTTGTCATCTGTTGTTATTTTCAAATAATCATAGTTTAAATTTCATCTGAAAGTGTAGTTTTTATTATAATTGTGTAATTGATAATTATTTTATTATAAAATAGTTAAAATAATTATTATATTTTTATTTTAAGTGTAAAATATTTTAAATAATAATATAATAATTTAATAATTTAAATATATATCATAAAATAATATAATATTACACACAAAAAAATGTTATTATATTTATTATTCAAAGTATTTTTAAATTGAAAATTGTCATAATTGGCTATGTTGTACACAATTTATATTATAACATAGGGATGAAGTAAAATCCATTTTACCTGTTTACCAAAAAAGAGAAAAAATTGGTAAAATATTTCTCCAATTACGATCTTAAAGATCCCTATATTTTAAAAAACATTTTTATTAAAAATCAAAAAAGTAATAACATTTTGCATTTTCATCAATTTTAATTTAATTATAAAGTTTTTCGATTTCTGCCAACATTTGATTATTATTGCAATTGATGTTAAAAAAATGAATAAAAAAAACAAAAAAGACCAAAATAATCAAACAAGAACCAATATCGTTAAATTTTTATTTTTTCAAAAAAAAACAATTCGAATTTAACTTTTGTTGTTTTTTAATAAAGTTTAACGTGTTTGATGAGAAAATATTTTTATTTCATGAAGCTGATACGTTAATATAAGTGAAAACAACATATAAATAACAAAATTTTTTTATTTTAGAATAGATAATAGAATTAATATTATTATATGACACACATTATTAAAACGATTGGCGCTTTTTGTTTAAAATAATTGATTATCATTTACTACAGAATATCATTTTAAAAATAACGACTATTCTTATCAATTAATGTAATGAAAAGAAACGTAGATTGTATGTAAGTGATATTTATTTTTTGTTTTTGGACTTATTTCAAATAAACATTATTTTCATATAATAAAAGAAATATTGTCTAGTAAAAATATGCTTTTCATGTAATATTTTTAATAAATATTGCAAAACAATGTTACTTGGCATAATAAGTCACAATTTGAAGTTATTGTTTATTTTAAAATTATGTCTGATAGATAAAATCGCAATGATATAATCATAATTATCATAATTATTATTATCAAAAATATAACGATTTAAATTCATAATTATTTTATTACATTTGTTTTGTTTTAAATATAATGTCTCAAATTATAATAAGTATTTTCAAGCGCATTTTTCAAAACAAAATAGACAGATGGATACAAATACTGTTAGAGTTAATTAATCCAAACTACAGTTAGATGTTGTACAAATGATATTTCGATATTTGTTGCTTATAAAAACAAATTAAATTAATTATGAGCATTTCTCAATGTATTTTATATTATATTGTTTTATGTAAATCCTCGATTTTTAAATAATATGTTTTTGATTTGTACCTTTTTATTAAACATAATGTTGTTATCGTTTAAGTATTTATTAAAACCTGTTTTATGCAAATTGTTTTTATTTATGATAAGTCAAAAATATTTACAATAAGATGAATATTGCCGCTCATTGTGGTAATTGTAAGAAAAAATCATTATTGAATTTTTCATTTTTTTTCAAAATGCATAAATTGTTTTAACCAAAAACATTAAAATGATATATATTAAATTATTCTTGATAAACAAAACCGAAATTCTAGAACTTAAATAGTTCTATTTGGTGAAACGATTTCACCAAATAATTTACTAAAACATAAATTTTCAGTAAAATTATTTCACCATTTTACTTCATCCCTATTATAACACACATTTACAAAATTAATACACAAATAACATCATTTTTTCTTAAAAAAATGTTTTTAAGAAAAATTATGTTTTTAAATATAATAACACTTATTCAAAAAAGAGTAAATGTTGAGTTTAATTAGTAGTGTTAACAAGTCCGTACAATGATTTTGGTAAATAAAACATAACAACAAATGTATAATCAAATGTGGTGAAAAATTAACGACAAATTATATAAACCTGCTTGTTTTTAATTTTGTATTTTTCTGTATTTAGTGTGTAATTTAT